GCTTTCACGGCCGGGATTTCATGGTTGTTGTTAGTTTTCCTGGCTCTTTGGCCATGTTCTGAAGGCTGTTCTTCCTAATGTTTCGCCAGTCTCTGTGGCCAGCATCTTCAGAGGATAGGAGTCAGAACTCTGTCCGTACTCTGGCTCTGACTCCTGTCCTCTGAAGATGCCGGCCACAGAGACTGGCAAAACGTTAGGAAGAACAACCTTCAGAACACGGAAAGCCCACAACAACCATCAGTCTACATGGAGTTTTCCAGTTTTCTATGAGCTAGGGTCATGCTTTGGTATTTGAAGAAGTGTTTTCCCTGTTTATTGTGTTTTTTACCTTCTCTGCTTCTTATCATACCTCAGCTCAGTTATTTTGAACATGGGGACAGATCCAGTTTGCGGGGTAGGATCTCATGCCTGTATCCCTCATTTCAACTTGGAAGCTGCTGCACCTGCCTTTCTCCCAGATGATGGGGGATCCAGGCACTAGACAAGCACCCATTTGGTTTCTTCTTCTTCTCATTCTATGGGTCTCCAGTAATCAGGCTTGGGGAGGGTATTATCTCATGGCAGATGGGTCATCCAGTGCCTAAATTCTCTGACCTGAATTGCACCAAGTCTCTGAGCTGTAACAAGTACAGCTGCAGCCTGCTTTATTTCAAGAATGGCTCCATGTATTTCGTTTTCCCATTGACTGATACTCTATGTTTCCTATCGCCTTTCAACTACTTGGCCTACAAAACTGTTTTCTGCTGTTCCAGAGAAGCCATTCTTTATTGCCAGCCAACATCTGAAGCAATTTTGAGAAAAAGAACAGGTTTTTCAGTATCTGACCCCAGCCTCAAGAACTCCACTCTAACAGAGGCTGTGTCCACCTATGCCAGTGAATAAGTTAATATTTTGACAGGCCTCGGCTGGCCCATGAGTCAATATGCTGGAAATTTTACTTTCTGTTTCACTGTATTTCCCCTGTATATTGGTGAATGATAATCATCTGAGCTGAATTCGCCCATTCCTGTCCATTTTAGTTCACTGATGCCCAGGATGTAGATGTTTATTCTTGCCATCTCCTGTTGGACCACCTCCAGCTTCCCAAGGTTCATATATCTTACATTCCAGGTTCCTATGCAGTATTTTTCTTTACAGCATTGGACTTTCCTTTCACTTCCAGGCACGTCCACAGCTGAGCGTTCTTTCGGCTTTGGCCCAACCACTTCATTAGCTCTGGAGCTACTTGTACTTGTCCTCCACTCTTCCCCAGTAGCATGTTGGACGCCTTCCGACCTGAGGGGCCCATCTTCCAGCGTCATATCTTTTAGCCTTTTGTTTCTGATCATGGGGCGGTCTTGGCAAAGATACTGGAGTGGCTTGCCAGTTCCTACTCCAGGTGGATTGCGTTTAGTCGGAACTCTCCACTATGTCCTGTCCGTCTTGGGTGTCGCTGCACGGCATAGCCCATAGCTTCTCTGAGTTACTCAAGCCCCTTCGCCACGACAAGGCAGCAATCCATGAAGGAGCGAGAACTCCCAGAAGTACAAGCTGGATTCCGAAGAGGCAGAGGAACTCGAGACCAAATTGCTAACTTGCGCTGGATTATGGAGAAAGCCAGAGAGTTCCAGAAAAATATCTACTTCTGCTTCATTGACTATGCGAAAGCCTTTGACTGTGTGGACCACAGCAAACTATGGCAAGTTCTTAAAGAAATGGGAGTGCCTGACCACTTTATCTGTCTCCTGAGAAACCTATATGTGGGACAGGAAGCAACAGTCAGAACTGGTCATGGAACAACTGAGTGGTTCAAAATTGGGAAAGGAGTACGGCAAGGCTGTATACTGTCCGCCAGCTTATTTAACTTATATACAGAATACATCATGCGGAAGGCTGGACTGGAAGAAACCCAAGCCGGAATTAAGACTGCCGGAAGAAATATCAACAACCTCCGATATGCAGATGATACCACTCTGATGGCAGAAAGTGAGGAGGAATTAAAGAACCTTGTAATGAGAGTGAAAGAGGAGAGTGCAAAAAACGGTCTGAAACTCAACATCAAAAAAACTAAGATCATGGCCACTGGTCCCATCCCCTCCTGGCAAATAGAAGGGGAAGATATGGAGGTAGTGTCAAATTTTATCTTCCTGGGCTCCATGATCACTGCAGATGGAGACAGCAGCCCTGAAATTAAAAGACGCCTTCTTCTTGGGAGGAAAGCAATGACAAATCTTGACAGCATCTTGAACAGCCGAGACATCACCTTGCCAACAAAAGTCCGAATAGTCAAAGCTATGGTTTTTCCTGTCGTGATGTATGGAAGTGAGAGCTGGACCATAAAGAAAGCAGACCGCCGAAGAATTGATGCCTTTGAATTGTAGTGCTGGAGGAGGCTCTTGAGAATCCCCTGGACTGCAAGGAGAACAAACCTATCAGTTCTAAAGGAAATCAACCCTGAATGCTCACTGGAAGGACAGATCCTGAAGCTGAGGCTCCAGTACTTTGGCCATCTCATGAGAAGAAAAGAGTCCTTGGAAAAACCCCTGATGTTAGGAAGGTGTGACGGCAAGAGGAGAAGGGGACGACCGAGGATGAGATGGCTGGACAGTGTCTGCGAAGCAGCCAACATGAACCTGACACAACTCCGGGAGGCAGTAGAAGACAGGAGGGCCTGGTGTGCTCTGGTCCATGGGGTCACGAAGAGTCGGACACGACTAAACACACACACACATATTGGTGAATGTGCATTTTTCCTGTATGCTATCTTAAGTGCCATTTGGTAGTAAGGCTGGATGCAATTTTAACAACTGAATAAACAGTTCCTCTGGTTGGAGGCCACTGTCCCAGACATAACTAAGCTTTAAGTCTCTGACACAAACTGAAAAGAAGATTTTTCTGCAAAAAAAGGCATTCATGACAGTTACCAACAGAAAGATTCAAATGAAAGCAAATGTTATTTAAAAAAATAGTAAAGATTGATGTAAAACTCATAAATAAAAAAGACAGCCTCCTCCTTTCCACAATTATACAGTGTACATCCAAAAGCCTCTCTGACTAATGACAAAAAGATTAACTGGGGGCAAGGGAATCCAGTTTGGTTGCTGTAAAGACTTCTATGAAACACTTTCCAAACAGACAAAATTAAATCACATTTAGCTTCTCAGAAATGGGCAAATTCAGCAGCCTCCATAAGTTCACAGTAGCCAAGACAGGAAAAGTACATACAAGTTTAAGGTCACATGGGGCTAAACAAACCACAGGTTCACTCCCCTGACCTCAGGGACTAGTTCCAGTTTTAAAAAAGCATATTCTTACTTTCCACATATTTCTGAAAGCAGGCAAGTGTTGCAAACCTATGTATACTTAACTTGGGAATATTTTACTGAAAAAAATAATTGTAAATTCATTCCCCTGAGAATTTTAGATATTGCATGCTGAGAATAAAAGTAGGAGGCAAGCACATACATACATACATACATACAGTGTTTCCCCCAAAATAAGACAGGGTCTTATATTAATTTTTGCTCCAAAAACGCATTAGGGCTTATTTTCAGGGGATATTTTATTTTTTTCATATACAACAATCTACATTTATTCAAATAAAGTCATGTCATCTTCTTCTGGTTGCTGCACAATGGTGGAGGGCTGGGTTTCACTTAACTACGGCTTATTTTGGAGGTAGGGCTTGTATTATGAGCATCCTGAAAAATCATACTAGGGCTCATTTTCAGGTTAGGTCTTATTTTTGGGGTACATACATACATACATACATACATACATACATACATACATACATACATACATACATACATACATACATACATACATACAAACAAATAAATAAATAAATAACGGAGGTTTCCAATTGTTGCTGCTGTTGCCACAGTACAGTAGTATATTATTTTTTATGCATTAAAATCTTTTTTTTAATGTTTACTCTCAGAACAGTATTCATGTTCCCCTTTTTTCTCACAATCAACTTGTAATGCAGATTATGATAATAGCTGCATAAAGATTAAAATCTCTGTTTCCCCTCATCCAATCATTGCTGCATCACTACACCACTCTGGTGAAAGATAAGCTCCCTAAAGTAAATGTGCATAGAGGCGTCTGTCTGTGGCAAAACAGATAAACAGATGCCAGATGACATATCCATTACTGCTCTGCACCAGTTTTGATTGCTAACAGAGGACTATATTTGTTCCCCTACATAAAACACACACATTTCTAAAACTAACATGTTATTGAAAGTACTGTATTCACCTAATCATGTTCTCCTCAACCTGATAGATTGCATGTACAGTGCAAGCAATATTCTGTGAGGCATTTTTCCAGATTCACTCCCCTATTTCCTGCCTGAAATTATATAGCCCAGCAATCCATACACTATGCAGTGCTTCTTTTTTGATTCAAAGTGATTGTACTCCTAAATTAACAATGCAAAACATTGAAAAAAATTAGTCACTCAAGTTTTGAGATCAGAAAATCCAACTAAACATTCTTCTACCCTCCTAAAATATTTTGAAACATCTCAAACTTTTCTCCCCTAGGAACTAGTTTTAACCATTATTGTCTTAGTTTAAAACCAAACTAAAAAGACTTAATTTCAGCTGATTCTTCTTCTACTTTTGGTGTGTAAAATTCATGGTTTTACCTGCTCCTGTTCCAATTCTACATCTCCAGATTAAAGATCACTACAAAAACGTCATGCTAATAGACACTTTACAGTTCCACAACTTCACACAACCTAAGCGTGGCTTGGAGAAAGGAGAACAAGTTAATCTTCTGACAGGGTTGTTAAATACTAAATGCCATCCTCCCATAGACCGCTGTTTCATAAATTAAACATACAATGTTCTTGTCTTGAAATGCAGGAAAATGCCACATTCTGAAGAAGTGTCCTTAAAAGCAGAGCTTTTAGCTGACATACAATAAAGCATTCCAGCCAGCTGAATGCAATGAATACAAAAACTCTGGAAGCTAATGAGGAGGAAAAGAAAACTGCAGCTGCGCCCCATTACCTGCATGAAGCCAGATTTGAGCCAGAGTCATCCAAGGATGCAGAGGTCCTTGCTTTGGAGTACTGCTCTGCAAAGAGGAGGCAACCTCAGATAGGGCCTGCTCTACCCGAGAGGCTGCTATTGACGTTGCATGGACGGAACCTGGGGACACGAGAAATAGTGGGTATTATTAGAAAGGAGGAAATAAATCGGGGCTATACATGTTGTTTTCAATTCTTCATCTCAAATCTCTCTGTACAATATAAAAGTGTGATCGAATCCCAAAACATCTACACTGCAGAGAATTTGTGAGGCTCCAATCTGTGCTCCCCAACAAGAATCAAGATGTTAGTGTTAGTGAACCTGCAGTCAAAGCCCAGCTTACTATTAGCAGAAATGACAGAAGAGATTGGAGCAGCCAGTGGGAAACACAAAGCTTTCAACTACCAACTGCAGTGCATGTACACACAAACAAGCTCAAAAGATCCAGGGAGTTTGGGGATGACACAATATGATGTAAAATTTTACTATTTGCTACTCAGTGCTCATCACTGCTGTGCTTCCCCCTCTCCAAGAGGTGTAATTAGAGGACTACCTGAGAGATAATAATAGACTAAGATAAGACTAATATACACAGAATGATCTCAACATTTCCCTGGACAGAAACCATTTAAAGGGCCGAGACTACAAAGTTCACTTAATCACTGATGTTAATAGCTGGAGAAATGAACAGAACAGATGCCTTGTCCAAAATGGAGCCACAAATAAGACCCCCCCCCAAAAAACCTGACCTGCATTACACCCAGTTTTTTGCCTTAATATTTCTTATCCATTGCTGTTTGTTACTAAGCCTGGCTACCTTTCTATGTACAAAGTGGTGTACAAAAAACGTTCCTGACTCCTTCTATAAGGTTAAAAAGTTTGAAATGGAATACTTTTCTGCAATTTATCATCATACTCGATGTTCACTGTATATTCCTGAATGAACATGACACAAACTGAACAGCTTTTTGAAATATATATGCACATTTCACAACGGCTGAGCTCTGCAATGAATATAAGAGGAGACAGAAACATCAGAAGTGTTTACAAAAAGATAAACACCTCCTCTGTCAAACTTTTTGTAAAATGGCACCTTCGTGGCAATTCTGGAACAGAGTTCAAATGTATTGTATTTTTGTCCAAAGGAATGTAAAATGTTTATATTGGAACATCTTATAAGCTTTCATAGAGAATACATCTACTCAGAGTTATTAACTTTATTGACTGGCTTTGCTCCTGGGCTTTAATGGCTTTCTGACAAGGAGAAATTAAAAGAGCTGAAACCTATCCTGCCGTGAAGAACGAGAAAGTGCCATCTGCTGTATTTCTGCCTGCCTCACAACTGCACAGCAGCGGCAGAACTCCCTACCTCAAACAATGCAAATGCTAAAATCTGTCTGATGGAGGCTCAAGCAACTTCATCCACAGAGTCACACACTCCTTTAACTTTCTTTCAGAGAAGCTGAGTTTCTTTTCATCCCCACATGCCTTGATCCGTGACATACATACAGTACAGTACTTTAAAGGAAGCCACATTTATTCCAGCAACACTTCCTTTTAATAAGTGTGTTTAGGATCTGAGTGTGAACCATCTGCAGCATCCTCCATCTGTTTACCAGAGCTTTCCCACCCTAGTTTTTGTTGAAATCTCTTTGTACCCCAGGAGTCTTTTCTGAAAGCAAGGGGCCCTGATAAAACATTATGCAACAATCTGTGAGGGTACAGATAGGGAAACAGGGAAAAGGCAAACTTACTAAAGATGAGCAGACCTGTCATCCTCTCTGCTAGGAATCCAAGCTAATATGTACTTAATTTCTCTCTCTTATATTTACTGTAAGAAGAACTTCCGTGAAAGGATATATATCCATACTGGCACATTCCCCATATCCTCCCCTTTCTGGCTTTAACTGCCATCAAGAATTATATAGGAACCAACATTAACTTTAGATAAGACTAATAAGATTTCTTCACAACTGGCTTCAAACCTTGATTTAGTACATGTTGACTCACCTTAATGTTAATGTTAGGACTGATGTAATACTTAAATGATATTAAGCTAGAAAGGGAAGAATGTGGTCAGTATTTACTCCTGAGGAGCTAGGGGAGGAGTGCATACATCCTCACGTCACTCCTAACTGCCTACAAATCAGGTATATTTCATTTACACTGGTGCAGTGTATGGCCTCAATTTCTTTGCAACATTTTAAGAATGCTTTTGTCACACACAGCTTGTTTTAACTTAGGAATATAAATGCTACTTAAATATCAGACACGTCGGGGGGAAAGAAATGGATAAAATATGTAAAAATGGCTCGAATGTGTATGCTGTCACTATATATACAGATTACAGGAGGCTTGCGGCACTGTGGTTAAATTGTAGTACTGCAGTCAAAGACTCTGCTCACCTGAGCTCTACTGGAATGCATAATGAACATTTCCAATATGTGGAACATTGTTTTATTTCCCATAATTCTTTATATACTTTGTTAGGATTTTGATAGATTCAGTCTCTATAGCCTGGAACAGTTCTACTGTTTACTCCTGATGATTTATTTCTCCCAGTGGTTCTGACAGAGTAGACCTTTGGTCTAGATGGGTGGGGCAGAAATCTACTAAAATAAATAAATAAAAATGACATGGGCTTTTACTCTAAAATCCCAGATTGCTCATCACAGGACACTTCTTCAAAAGGATCTGTCATCCTTGCATCTCTTTACATAGTTTTTTGCTATGTTGTTTCCATCTTCCCTTAATTTTATACATCCTGCTGATCATTTGACACCCCAGTCTTCATTAAAATTGCCCTCTTGTTCTTTTTTATTCCTTTGGCCAGAGTTCTGTTGCTTATCATAAGCCAAATAGCAACTCTTGTTCTGTTCTTCCCTAGTAAACAAACCCTTCCTGCCATGATTCTCTGCAGTCATGCAAATGCTGGCTTAGTCAGCGTCCACACAGGCCCTGTGAATCATGGTGGGGGCACTTTATTTATCAGGGAGGAACAGATTGAAAGTTCCAACTTGGCTTATGCTAAGCAAGAGGATTTCGGCCTTTGTATTGTAATAGTGCTTTTTTGTTCCTATGAGAGTCTAACTGGGAAGCTGCATTTTGCAATATATTCTGTATATGGCTTTAAATCCATCAATGATTTCAATTATACTTTGGCACTATGATAGTTTTATATTCTTTTCCAGCTTCGCACAGTCTGCTCCTAAACTTGTATTGGCAGAGAGAATATAGCTTCTCCATCTTCTATTTCTCATTACATAGTCAGTCACCTATGATTATTTAGTACATTAAGCTTCAGTGTATAATCATTTTTTTTCCTGGACATTTGCACTGAAAGGTTTGTGTTTTTCCTGTAGCTGGGAAAACTTCTTAACTGTTAGAGCAGTACAACAATAGAACCAATGACCTCAGAAGGTGGTAAGTGCTCCAATGCTGGAGGCATTCAAGAGAAAACGGGACAACAATCTGTCCAATCAGCTTTGATATGGATTCCTACATTGAGCTGGGGTTGAAATCTATGGCCACATAGACCCCTTTCAACTCAGTTATTCCATGATTCTATGACCCTCGGGATCTTCCCCAGCTCAACAACTCTCTAATTCTATGATTCTTCAGATAGTGAAAAATGATTGCTTCTTAATACAGTATACCAAATGCTCTAGTCCTTGCTTCTTCCTAGCAAAAATAGCATAGCAGTCACTTGAGTTCCCAAAGGTGTCTGCAATTAAATAATCACTCTGTATTCTCTCATAAGTTTTTATTCCAACAGAGAATTAAGTATCAACAAGCAAGAAAAAATTCAGTGTCATACTAGTGCTTGGTTTCATCTAATTCTTATGGGTAATTCTTGCCCTTCCTGGGATTTTAAGACTTATTTCTTAAAGCAGGAGGAAGTAAACTCAGTACCTTCCAGATATTTTCAATTATAATCTTTGAATACTTGGAAATGTTATACATTTCCTGAAACTGATGCTTGTCCCCTCCTGTATGCCTAAAACCCAAGGTATACTGATATTATAAGTAAGTTTTCCCACTACAAATATTTATCAGAACTGGATCAGTCTAGAGGCGTGTACTCAAAACGACCTCTGCTTAAAACCCTAAGAACCAGCTCCTGGTCAGAATACACAATACAGAGTGAGACCAATGATGTACAAAGAATGTCCCTAAGGCTCTTTTTGCCCAAAGATTGTTTTTGTGTTTTCACCAGCAAGAGAAAACAAACTGCAGCTCTTGGAAGCCTACAGGAATGGTGATCCATATATTGGTCACCATGCCTTCAGCACCATTTAATCAGCCAAAATATCCATTTTCCAGAATTACAAGTATACTTCTAGGTAGATCCATAGAACAATAAGTAGTAAGTGAGAGGCCCAGAAATTCTTTATTTATTTAGACATTTTTAAATGTTTAAAAAATGATTTTAACTATTGATTTTAATATTCATGAATATTTAATTGTTTTTTAATCTGGTTTTTCCGGTATTTTACAACTGTTGATTATTATACAGGTTTAATTGTTGTGAGCTGCCTCAGGTCCCAATGAGGAGAAAGGTGGAACATAAACAAACAAACAGAAAACTTGGGGGGTCTCGGGAACAGTAAACTATTCTCCAGATTTGGTCTTGTGCTGGACAAAGTTTTAACTTTTGGGCTAGGTTTTAACTGTTTTGTACCCCCTAGAACAGAATGCAGCAGCAACAAACAGAACTGAACATACAAAAGCAAATGTCAGAAGAAAATGTTCTCTCCTTCCTAATGCACACTTTGTAAGTGGAAAGAACTATTTTGTCTGAAGGAGCAATGAGTCAAGTGGGCTCTTAAACATAATCCGAAGTGGTACAGTCCTACCACAGGTTTGCCCTTTCAGTGAAAATGAGGAATATGAGAGGCCATATGAACACTACTGGCTGCCAAACTTCCATACAAACATCAACAGTAGCTCTGTTGTGATATCTACTTACAAGCAGGTACTTCTTGTTTAATCCTTTTTTATTCCAGTATCAACTAGAGACTACTCTGCTTGTTTGCTGTCAAATGTACTCCAGAATACTTATTTGAGAGTCAACACATAACTTCTTGAAAATAATATGAAACAGATATTGAACTACTGCCTAAGCAACAATATTTTCCGTCTCACTTTTTTATTACCGTTCACACCAATTTGTGTAGGCCAGAGGGATTATTTCACATCTGAATCTGTACCTGTTCCAGGAATTATTACCGAACTTAATGAAAGTCATTGAGCTGACATTTCATTTACCAGGATGAAACTGTGCTTTGTTTGAATAGCTTAATTTCATAAGCCTTTAATTCAACAAGAGGCATCCACCAAATTTGAAGAACTAACAAAGGAAGCCTGTCATTGTGACAAGGTGATTACTAAATCTGTCAGCATTTTTTCAGGTATTTACTTTGAGAGGGACTTTCACTACTTTACAGTTGATATGTTGGCTGATTTCAGCAAAGACAGAAAAAGGGGCCATGGCCTCAATTCTGTTTTGCTTTTCTATTTGATGGTTTATGAGAAATAACCATGTCTTAGTACAGTAAGCATGCTGCTCCTTCCCTTGTGTTCTCCTATAAGACTGTTGAATGAATGATGAAATGGTAAATAACTTGACATAATACAAATCTTTCAAAGGCTCACCCTTTCCTTGCTGCAAAATGGAAAGTGGTTTTTCAATCAAATTTCATGAGAATAATGTCAATCAAAGGAAAGGAAAGGAAAGGAATGAAACTGACCAAAATCATGCAAGGTGAAAACACAGATTAGTTTTCACATGCTCAAAATATGAAATAAAATAGCAGGCATCAAAGCATGTAAGAATACCAAAATATGGAACATGCAGAGATCTGTAAGACAGTGCAAGCGAAACACTTTATTGGTTAAGAGACAGTACCTTCTGCAGGACTACATAAATGAGGTATGCCTACTGCTAAATCCCACTTGACTTTATTAGTATTATAATTCATCTGTCTCACTGAATCGACTGCTGAGCGAGTCAATATTTATGTAAATCCAACTGAGTATAGCACATGGGTCTGTTCTAACTAGGGCTATGTTTGCTGACATTTGGGGAAAAGATCTGCCTTTATCAGAAGAGAGAAGCTTTTGGTTTTCTATACTGTTAACATAAAGTAGTCTGTGAAGCTTTTCGCTTGCTATGCTATATATTGTGTTATGTTATCTACTTAGACACAGGATTGGTGCATGAAGCAGTCACATCCTCTTTTTATTAATTAACAGAACATCACCATCTATAGGTAAAAATCTGCTGCAATATAGTATCTGAGCGGTGACAGTCCACACAAATGGCTAGTAATTAAATGCTGGACTTAAAATTTCTCACAATAGGTGTTGCCCCAACAAAAATGCTCCATGGGGAATCATTTTTCAAATATTTTCAGTTTCTTTTATGATATTTTGACCTGATGATCTTCCCCAGAATCTCTTTTTTCTGTTAGCCTAATAAATGAATAAATAAATGCCCAAATTAGCCTCTGCTTCCAAAAGACCTTTATCTGCAGCCCTCCAGAAGTTAATACTGCCTCTTTAGAAACTGAACCTGAAGACTAGGCAAGTGCATTCAGATCTCACAGGATTACAGCCACAGGGTGACTTGAGTAAAGAGCAGCAGCCTTGCTTTGCATACTGTCAAACCTCCATGACGAATGGATAACATTAACATTTGGTGGTGAAGAGAGAGTGTTATTACTAAGTCTTTAGAAATTTAAAAATAGACCTGTATAGTAAATACTACTTACAAACTGAAAAAAGGGAGAAAAAACCATGAAAGTAAGCATCTGGAGGGTTGCCTTTAAATAACAGATCAAACCACAAATTAAAATCACAAAAAGGTAACAGCTATAAAACAGAATTGCACAGAAAGCAAATACACTTCTGATAACCTTGAAACTGTAAGCTAATTTTGTTGTTTTCAAAAAAACTATAAACATTTCTAACAAGGAGTTCAAAGTCGACAGTTTTTCTGTAAGAATTTAGAGAAAATACTGGTTAAATCCGTTCCCGGTCACATTAATATCCAAAGAGAAATACCGGTACAGAAAAATAACAAAGTACACATCCTGGTAGAGCCTGGACCATTTTTTCTTTGATGAATAGAAAAGGAAGTAACACAGCTTTTTTTGGTGCATGAGTAATGTGAGAATCTAGTTTTAGGACAACTAAGATCTAACCAGGAGGTTACAGCAAAATCAACACATACTGTAGAAAATAAAATAAAAATCTCAGATAATTTTCACTGGAGATAGAAAATTCACAGCTTACTTCGTTGTTTTCATTACTGCAACTTTTCATAAACTATCTATCAGGTAACCCTGCGAGTCGCAGCTTAATCAGAATGAACTGTTTAACAGCACAGAGGCCATGGTTCATTATAGTGCCATGCTCTAGATAGGCTCAATCGTTAAAAAAGAATTTGTCTGCCAAAATTCATCAACTGTTGCCATTCACCAATAGAGTGGTCCAAGTCATTTTGCTGCTTGAGTCCAAGGACACGACAGCTTTACTCCTCTCTCATTTTCCACCCAGAAGCAAATCAGACTAACTAAGGAATCTTAGTACAACACTGGCAGTGAGTGGAATGGCATCCTCCACCTGAAACAAATAGACTCACTTAGGGTAGGTAGCCTAAGGCAGGTAGTGTGACAAGCACCAGTGAGCCTTTGATGGCTTACACAGAATACCACTCACTCATCACTGAACCAGATGTTTCCTCACTGACTACTCATATCTAATGCAACAGCGGGGGCACTGGCACAGGGCATGTGAGCAGAGCAGTGTGTGCAGAAAGCCTTGCTGGGTGTCTAAATGTGTCCCTGCCTGTCTGCCTACTTACTTAGCTAGGAACCTTTGTCATTCCTCCGTCACTCATGTGTTGGGAGAAGGCAATTATGCTAAACAGCCAGCTAGCAACAAGAAAGGATAACTGCCACTGAAGCATTTGTTCAAGAGGATGGTGTTTGTGTGTGTGCCCCTGCTGCTGCCTTAGCATATGCCACTTAAAGCAGTCCTATCCCCTTTCTATAATAATAAGGCCAGCCCTATTCAGAGTAAAAGCTAGTCCCCAAATCCGTAAGACGTTATAGGAAAAGATCTCTGAAAAGTTCAGATCAGCATCCAACTTTTAATTAATTGCTCTACTTTGATTGTGCTGACATAGATTCTCATCCCCTGGAGCACGAATTCCAACAGTGATCCATCAGAGACCCATAATAAAGACCAAATACCATACTATAAATTAAGAAAGACCAAATACCATACTATAAATTCTGGACCACACCATTTCAGATGGCAGCCAAAACTGCTCCCCCCCCTTTAATCCTCCCCACGCAAAAAGAAAAACAAATCACTGCATGTAACGAATTGGCAGAGAGAAATAGGACTGGGGCAATGCTCTTTCAAATATGCTGTTTCCTACAATCCCAACTAGAGTGAGAATTTTTGATTCTGTTGTGGGTTGTATATTTCATTTTCTTTAAAAAAATAAATGCAGATAGGATGTGCTCAAAAGAGCACTTCTAATTTCACTTTCTAATTATTGGAGGGTTTAATGGGGACTGAGGGACCCCTCAAAGTGTCTCCCCCCCCCTCAGAAAATCCACCACTCCTGGAGGCATCCAAGATGTAAAATATAGGTTTTTGACCCACTCATTTTTTTAATGGAGATTTTTCATGTGGTTTGGGTGTGGTAAAAATGCACTTCATCAGCCACATGAAGCCTGTGCTCACATGTTACCCATTCTTCCTCAGAAGTACTATGTTTCTGAACTGTCATAGTTAAGAAAAGGGGTCACAGATGGCGCTCCACAAACAAGTAGATACAAGCATTAATATAAGAGCACAAAAGCTAGTCTTTCACATAATATTTGAAACAAGATCCAACTACACTGTGACCTGATTAATTTGCACTCTTTTGCTACTTATTTTCTCGCACCTGTCATCTAATTCTGTGCCAGAGACATGGATTTACCACACAACTCCACTCAAATGAAAAGATTAAACCAATTTATAATAAGGGGAAAAACACCAAGCACAAGAATAAAATATTTCCTGTCTTGAAGCAAATGTCTTGGAATGAAAATTATTTCCATTTATATTTAATTCTGTCAACTAAAGGTCTTAACATTTCAAAATGAGTTAATTGCATGGAAGAGAACAACTCCAATAAAAAAAGAGAGGAGCATCTGTAAAAAAAGGTATTGAAAATGACTGCATTTCTATCATAGAAAGACTGGGAGATAACCCACTTGGAAGAGAACAACTCCAATAAAAAAAAGAGGAGCATCTGTAAAAAAAGGTATTGAAAATGACTGCATTTCTATCATAGAAAGACTGGGAGATAACCCACTTCATGGCAAAGAGAGAGAGAGAGAGAGAGAGAGAGAGAGAGAGAGAGAGAGAATAAAAGAAATATAAATCAACACTGTCATTCCGCTGCTTTTACATCACAACAAACTAAAAAATTTGGAGCGTGATGCATTGGCAACTATACAGATTTCTTACTTCCATGCATTATGAGATGGAAATGCATATGGATGTAGAAGCACCAGTAAGATCCCACCCAGGGTCTTCCTAGCTTAAAGCTTCAGATCTCGGTGGAACCAGTTAAGATTAAAATAGTTGTCAAAAAGTTCCTTCTCCCCAGATCTAGACATTAGGTTCACAGCCAAGACATGGAACCATATATATATATATATACTGTGTGCGCACATTCCTCTAAACACACAACATTTGGTAGTCAGGATTAGTCACTAGTCTTCCAATGTTGGGAACACTATAGCTTCGCTGCACAATGCTGACATGAGGAACCAATCCTGTGCAATAAGACAGTTGGTACTGCAGTGTTAGCAGGTGTGTTGACTCAACACAACACTGAAGTAACTGGAGATGTGCATAGCTGCCTGGGGAAATCTGGGAAGTGTAGTCCAAAAACCACTAATCTGCACATCTCTGGCAGAAACACTTTATGTCAGCAGTGATTCTTCTATCCTGTCAGGGAGGCAATGGGGCCCCCTAGTGGACCCTGTATGAAAAAATTGTATGAGACTAGCTTCTAGACTGCTGGAAAAACTGGGAAGGCAATTAAACACTATACTGACATAAAATTATCAACATGTTCCTGCAGAAACATAGCACTGCAGATGAAAACCCTGGCATTCCTACATGCCCTTATCATTTAATTTTTTTAAAATGTATCAAGTCAAGGAGACTGCAGTCACACCAAACAACCTGATGTTCAACATGTGAGTGCAACTGGTGCTTAACAGTTATGGAGATTATCAGAAGTACAAACAGAGCAAGCTAACACGCCTATCAGAAAGAGGAAAACAAGTTTACAGAGTGAAGGTTCGCAGGGCCCAGGAGCGTGGTCACTGTATGGATTGGCTGCATGGGGCCAGAAAGAGGAGTCAGTTTTGGGATGAGGGTGAGGAGATTGAGGAGACATAAACAGGTGGAGAAGAGATTCGGTTCTTGAGAGAGATGAAGATGTGGAGGAATCAGAAGCTAAAAAAAGTGAAAAAGAATAATTATATATCAAAAAAAGCTACACACAGGATTTAAATGGATTCATAGATTTAAAAAAAAATAAAAAGAGAGATAAAGTACAGCCCATTTAATCACCACTGCATAGATATGCAACAGTTTTCCTACAGAAAATACAATGACTTTCCTTGAGTCACTGAAAAAGTCAGGTTTTGTCTACAAAGAAATGTGTCCTAAAATGTTTACTGAGAACGAACAGTGTGTGTGTGGGGTGACAACAAAACTAATGTCAGTTAACTCAGTTAATTTTGGAAGGGGAAATGGTTATGAAAGCATTTGTAAGACATGAAATTTGAGATATGCAACAGAAATCAATTGTTAAAACATGAGTGCCTCAAGCTGCTAAATGTCTGGGTGTTTGGCACCATGTTTTCCATTTTAAAATTATTTTTGACTGACACCAAACAAAAAGCCATCTTCATCATCCCACACCTGTATCACTGTCATCCAAACTTACAAGCATCCAAATTGGTGTGTTAGGATCCAGTTCAAATACTGGTTGTTACAAATTCCTTCTTGCACTGTTAGGCAATATGAAAGATAACATTATGTAGTACATACGTACCTACCTATCTACCTTCCACCCAAGAAGTAGGAAGCATTCAGGGAATTGTATCATTTAAACTAAGAACTGGTGGGTAGCATACCACAAAGAAACATAAAGAACTGCTGCTCAGTGGTTTTATGTATCTGGCTTTGAAGCCAGAGGTTGGGAGTTCAATTCCCCACTGTGCCTCCTTGATGGGGGCTGGGCTCAATGATCCATAAGTGTCCCAGAAGTGTACCTCTAAGATTATATTATATTTTATGCAAATAGGTTGAACTAGAGCGTTACCATATATAACTCCAATTTTCTTATGTAATTTAAATTCTGTAGTGGGACTTGTCTGCTTCCCACCTTATATGAGCCATTCTATTTGAAAAAGAGGTGGAAAACACGTCACAGCTGGTAGAGCCTAAGTGCGTGAAAAGAGGCTGGATTTATTGGGCTGCACACCATTGAAAACAGCTATACTGGTTGACTTTTTGCAGATGCTGTAGCCAGAGCAGGGGTGGAGAGCCATCATAACCGCTGCCATTCTTGCAGCATCATTACAAAAATCTAAATTACTGTACATCCAGGAAGTAAAGTGATCACTTACGACCGGGAAATCACAATACTGATTAAGCAGTAGGATAGCTATTCTGCGATGCAAATACGAGCAGAGCAACTTGGCAAGGATCAGATCTCAGAACTGGACCTGTTATGGCTCTAATAACTGGACTCTTAATGAAGACCAGAAGAAAGCAATTAAAGAATAGATTTGCAGTCAGCCACTCTTTGCTGAAAGGTAAATATGCAGGAATTCTTTTCTGGTGAGCAACTGGCATCACAAAAGACTGGTAAAAAGATTTTTTGCCCACCTAACTTAGAAATCTGCTTTGAGACTGGCAACCCTTAGATTAGGGGAGAAGTGTCCTGGCCTACTGGATCTTCAACTTGACCTGCAAAGGGTTTTAGTCACTCTTTTCCAAAACCTCAACCCCTCAGAATGGAGATGGGGCAGGAGGGAGAAAGTGCTGAAATTGGAGTCTCAGAGAAGTGGCTAAGCATTCCTGTTGCCTTCCTGATGTGGAGAAGGGAGAGAGGTACAGTATTCCTGTATTCTACCAGCTATCTGGGTTGCAAACTCTGCACTCATTCAGCCCTCAAAGTGCCAAATGGCTGCACCTAGTTTCATTCAACACCACCTTCCCCGCATGCTTCAGTATGGGAGCCAAAGACATTAGGTATGTGGCTGTATTCCCAATATCTAGCTGGGATGGCCATGGAATTGATGGTAAAATTAAGCAAAGCAGTTGCCAAATTGTGTTTCACAGACAGATGTAAAAGATTCAGGATTAGGTCTATCACAGGAGGGACCTAACATTTTGAGGTAATCTGGCCTCTAAATGAAGAACTAGCCTCGGCTTATCCAGAATCCAGAAAGGGACTGCCAAATTCTAGAATCTGGATGACATCTCTACCCTTAGTCTGAAAGGAAGTAAGAGAGAACCTGGATATGTGCCAAATTAGAAAAGGGAGAGGGGGATGTAATACATGGTTAATCAACAATCCTTAGTAAAAGAACTTTGCTCTGTCCATTGGCATATTGTTACATCAAGCTGCTGTCCCGGATCAAAGTTACTACTCCCTAATGAAGCAGCACAGATTATTTGTATTCAAAAGGGAAAGGCCAAAAACAAAAGAAAAAGAAAATAAAGAAGACAAGATTATTGTGGCACCTTAAAGACTAAGTGTACCCTAAAGACTAAGTCCACATCCTCAGACTTGTGCACAATAAAACACACCAGTTAGGTTTGAGTCTACAAGAGCTGAGCTGGGCTGTTGAGGACAGGGCGTTTTGAAGATCACTCATTCATAAGGTCGCCATAAGCTGGAAGTGGCACATAACAAGTTTTTAAGATGCCACATTCTTGTCTACTTGAAGCCACAAAGCCCTAAACCTAAACACAGCACATCTACAGTGGTGCCTCGCAAGACGAATGCCTCGCAGGATGAAAAACTTGCAAGACGAATGGCTTTGGCAATGGGGTTGATGACTCAGAAGACGAATGTTCCTATGATTATGCTTCGCAAGACGTGCTTCACTCTAGCCGCCTAGAGTGGCCGCAAAGACCAGATAGGCGGGGTATAAATGGAATGAATGAATGAATGAATAAATAAATACGAATGTTTTCCGTTTTTTTGTTCCTGCTTCAAGTTTGCTGATTTTTAAATGTTTTTCTATGATGTTTAAAAAGTTAGTTTCTTGACTGACATTTTTGAAATCACCTGCACAATATGTATGGCTTTAAAGAGCACTTAATAAACCCTTTGTAACCAAATTTGACTTTGTTCTGACTTTTTTTGCCCGTAGGAACACATTAATTACATTTCAATGCATTCCTATGGGAAAACCCGTTTCGCAAGACAAATTTTTCACAAGACAACATTAACCGTAGAACGAATTAAATTCGTCTTGCGGGGCACCACTGTATCTCTTTTAAAAGCTCTGATGCTGAAGAGTATCCTGAGTCAATATGAGCTAACGAAAGAGAGTTAGATATGAATTTGCTGCAAGCATTGAAGTCCCTGTAGGTGAAAGGGGCAGATATACGTTTGGGTGGCTGAATGGTCTTTTTAAAAAGCAGAGGTTTTTCAACCCATTTGGCCCAGTTGGGTGTAGACAAGATCCATCAGGGAAGGAAGGCCACTAGACTCTTTGATTAGTAGACCGAGTGAAGGAGCATGAAAGGACAATGAAAAATGGCAGAAATAGACAAAGAAAGGAAATGATTGGGGAAGGATGCTGTCCCCACTTCCTAGTGAGAAATGTGGCAAATTGCTTTTTACACTGAAAAAGGAAAAAAATGAAGATTCCCACAGAGCACCTCAGCATCTTCTATCACTGACCGGAAGCATTAAAATACATCTCTTTTGTCATAGTCTATTTTACTCAATTGTACTTAGACTCAAATGCACAGAAGTATCTACATTCCTTTATTTTAATTATGGTTGTTTCTTGAAGTGTATACATTGCAGACATAGCTTTTTAAATATAATCATTAACAAAAGAATATAAACCACATTCTATACTTCTATTCTGAATACTCAAAATTTAGAACTGATTTCCATCTGAATCACTTAAAAAAGAATAACAATGCAATTTTCCGGTCCTGAACAGTCTTGTACCAATATAAATTAGAGATGGGGGTATTCATATATGAATATCCCTGCACAGCTGGAGTTAATGAGGGTCCAGGTCTTCGGACAGGACGGTCCACTCATATGTCTGCCACCAGCCCCAATCATCCTTTCAATTGCTCCTGGAGTGACGCTCTCTTCCCAGTCGGCTAGCCACTCCTGGCAGAGGAAGGGAGGACGAGTCTCCCTGCAAGGCTGCTGAGTGGCTAGCCGAGCGGCTTTCCAGAGCGACTGGAAAGAAGAGAGGGGCCACTGCAGCTGCCAGACATATGAATGGATGGTCCAGCCCTAGGGACCAGATCCTTGTTAATTCCAGCTGCGCGGAGATAATCGTATATGAATACCCCCATCTCTACTTATTGAATAGTCTAATTCTTTTGGCCCTGTGATCTGGATACACCCACTGCATAAAGGCATTACTGACTATAGAAAAAAAAATTATTGAAATTTGCTTAACATTAACTTATTTATATAACGATTCTCCTATTAGATTGAGCGTAAACTATTGCCACGTGATTGGTTAGAAAAAGAAGAAAGAGGGGAAAGACAAAAATAGTGGTCTTTTATAAATGTTAACTATTTTCATATAAAACAATGCACCTTAGATTTCATTTCTTTCCACATTTTATCTTTGAAAAGAAAAAAGAACTTTTTCGCCACTAAGGCCCAATAATATGTGTTTATGAAGATATAAAAAAAGATGGCAATAAGGGAGTAACCAATTACTGACAGTACAATGCTATCTGGTTGGCTCAGACTCCCTATACAATTCAGAAAAGCTTAACACCAGATTTGCCTATAGAACAGCAGCCTTATTTTTGCAAAAATATAAAATATATATTATTGAATATTATTTATTTAAAGACTTGTTTTTGTCTTATTTATTTTTTAAAACTTTATTAAAAATAGTTTGCGATCACCTAGATAATACAAATGGATCCCAAGCATCTATTTTCACATTCATATTTTATATTTTAGGTATACATTTCACACTGTTATCTGGATTATGACCTTTGGGTCCTCAGCATATATGGTTATTTACATCAAACACAAAACAGTGAAAAGCATAAGATGTGCATTAGACCCCTGCAGCTGCTCTATTCGTATAAACGTCATCACGCATATGTTGGTATACATACAGAAGTGTGTGTGCATATGTATGTACTGTATCTGTGTGTGTGTGCATGCGGGTGTGAGTGCAGTTCTATTACTGTGGATAAGCTGTTTGTTTCTTGAATCTATGTCAAAAGATGAGGAAAATAAATCAAACCAATTAGATGGTCACTCAATGAAGGAAGGAACTATTGGAAATATTTTGCTGGACCAACCATAAGAAATGAAAAGGAATTCTGAAAAATCAAATGACACAAGTTTGTACAATGGAAAGTAACAAATCTGTATTGACAAATACAGATTTATAGAACAAGAACTCTACAGTGGTAAGAAATGTTCATCAGGTAAGAGAACATGAATGGACAGAAAGCACCTCTCAAGTATTACACAGTGTCTGAAGTTGTTCATTTTCAACAGCTGTTCTCAAATGTGGGTCTACAGATACTTCAGGCTTCGAGTTCCAAAAGTCAAAGTCAGTTCTGCCCGTGTTCAGGGCCTCTTGGAAATCCAATACAACAATATATAGGGACTGGGTACCACCGATTTGTAACATCAGAACTGCCATACATATTGGATATGTATAGCAAACACCTCATGAAAAAGCTAGGTTAGATTCCCATCCTGCTGAATACTCATTAAGAGGTAAAATGGTGCTGACCCAGAAATATACTTTTCCTTACTTCCTACTTAGCTTATGTGGCTTCCCAAAACAAACAGTGCAGAAATTTTGCATAGCTATCTAGCGACAGAAATTTTATAATAAAAGATGGGGAAAGGTTAATGAATATACAAATTGCAGACTATAAGTGAGATGCTTCCCATAGAAGGGTGCTTTAAAAACTGAATTACAGTGAAACTGTTCACGACCTACCTCAAACACTCTGACTAGATAAGATTCCCACATCTAAAAGAAACGCATTTTTTCTCTAACTCTTTATTGTTGCAGGCACAAATCCTCACCTGTTTCAGGATCACTGAAGTCTGGCAAAGTAATTGTATTAAGCTGTCTCCTGTCAGCAATGGCTCTATCTAACAAACTGCTGCCCCGTCCAGAATCACTGCAGGAAACAATACAAGAAACAAGTTATTAAAAATTTAAATAATACATGTTGATGGTTTGGTTACACCATAACTCCTAACAAATATATTTATATAGCCCTTATCTATCTATCTCTATCTCTATATCTATCTATAAAATGTACTAACAGGACTGATAGCAGTCAAACATCCCAGCAGAATTGGAATATTTTACAGTGACTGAAGTATTTTCACACTAATTTTCTAAATACTTCAGAAGATTTGAACCTCACACATGACCATATGTTTGCACATATGTAGTAGTATAGAATACAAAGTTATCAAGCTGTTATTACCACTCCGTTGATGGTGACTTTTAAATGGAACTAGAACAACGTGGCTGTCATATCACTGATGGCATTTATGAATCAAGGTTTGATTAGACCCAATAGAATTTGGCTGTTAAATTCATTAATACAGACACAGCCAAGACCTTGTACAAGGCAAGACAAAATCTTAAAACATTAAACACAATGCCAACATCATAGAAACATCTGCAGAAGTCAGAAAGGACTAGAAAAAGGTTGTATGGTCCCCAAGATTACACAACCGTAAGAGTGGGGTTGCAGATGCAAGCTCAGAGATAAAGACAGGTGAAGGCTTATGCATAGTAAGAGGAGCAGACAGAGCAGCTCCAATGGGGCCCAATAATCTTCATAAAAATGTAGGAAGGAAAGCAGGCCACAAATCACAAACACTCCAATACAAATGCCATGACTACATGACAACAAGAAGAACTGGAAATCTTATCTCAGGGGGTAAATATGACTTGATAGCAATAAATGAAATTTATTGGGATGACTTCCGTGACTTGAATACATCAACTGAAGGATGTCAATTGTTCCAGACAGAAAGAATAGAAAGGGAGGTGGAGTCACGGTATATGTGAAAAATATATATTCCTGCACAGAAATACAGGAGGATGAGTCTGGTTGTTCCTTCGAAAGCATCTAGATTATTATAAGTAAATGAAAAACAAAAAGAACATGGTAGTGGGAGTTTACTACCAACCACATAATCAAGAAGGAAATATGGATGAAATCTTTGAAAAACAAATGGTGATAATTTCAAAGAGATACAATGTAGCAGCAGGAGTGGGGTTTAATGATCCTGATAGCTATTGGGTGATAAATTCTGCCAAATATGATCCTTCCAAGAAATTCCTGGCTTGTACAGCTGGTAATTTTCTCATTTAGAAAAAGTTGAAGAAACTAGCTCTCTTTGACTTAATTCTAACCAACAGAAATGATTTGGTGGAAGGAGGAGCAGTAAAGGGAATTCTGAGGGAAAGTGACCATATTCTACTTGAATTCTCGAATTCAAAGGAAACAAAATCAGAGTGTAGCTGTATGTGTATGTTGGATTTTAGGAAAGTTAATTTTAATATGGATGTTGCATAATGGTTTTGTTTTTGATACTCCTTAACTATCATTTTTCACAAGATCCTTTCTCTGTCACAAAGATAATGCTGCTTATGGCTCTGGTTGCAGCAGAACTGAAACTGTTCACAAAACATCTGATTGCTATAAAACTATGCAAGACTGGAGGAAAATCTGATCTTTCACATCTGATACCATCTGTAAAATGCCAGTTTTGAATCAGAGAGAACTGATGGCAATTTCCTTTCAGTGAACCTGTATTCTGTATAAAGAAGGAAACTTTTCTCCCCTTTGTTCAACTGCTGTTGAAATGGTGTGGAAGATTCTGCAAGTCAACATTGCTGGATTGCTAATTCATATATAACGATGCAGTAAAAAATAATCCACAGGAAACAGACGCCCCAGTCCATTTTATCAAGCATTAACTACTATATCAGTCAGCACACACTTCCTGCAAAATGCTCAGTTAATTACTTCCCTGGTATGTGAGTGATGTTGTACAAACATCTGTAAGGAGGAAATGAGGTGATGTAGGCTTTTCAAAGATTTAGTTGCTTGGTTCCAGTGGCTTCTAGCTGGATACCCCATATAGCAGTACTGTATTACGGAATTAATCAGTGGTCACCCTGATTTTGTAGTGGTCTTCAAGGACATTATATTACTTATTAGGCACCCATTTATGTATGTACTCCACTGTAAATATGGGTAGACAGAACTGTGATAAGAACAAAGCAGGGATTCTGCACTCAGCTGAAGGTGACTGACTTAGTCTACTCATTCTCAATGGGGCATCCATTTTCACAATCTCCTCTTAAGAACAATAGCTCAGAGCTACATGGTGGCAGTAGCAATAATACCCTCAAAGTATGTGGCAGGTCAGGTGGTTGGATAGCTCAGTAAGCTGAAGCACTGCAGAGCTAAGGCTTAGAAATTTGATTCTTCACTGTGCCTGGTAAGAGAAGAGTCAGACTTCTCTTGGATACGCCAAATGGTCCCAAAGCACACCCAGAATATTACTCTATACCTAGGAAATCCTAGAAATAGTATCCTGATGCCAGATTGACTTGATGGCACATAATTATAGAATCATAGAATCGTCATAGGGTTGGAAGGAACCTTGGAGGTCTTCTAGTCCAGCCCCCTGGCCACAGCAGGAGACCTCATACCATCCCGAACCTTGTTTCATCCCAGACAGATGGCTGTCCAATCTTTTCTTGAAAACCTCCAGCGATGTGTGGCAGGTCATATTCTCAATCTTCTCAAGTAGTAAGCAGTGCAGGTTGACATCCACAAATAGAGATATGTTCATTACCTAGATAATCCTTGAGAACTCTTTAATTACTTTTGCAGGAAGGCTCTGTAACCTTTCTGGATCTGTGCGCACACATGGTATTTTTAAGAAAGTGTTTTGGAAAAGTCACCAAACAGTTGAGTGGGAACATCATTGTTTAGTCTTTAAGTCGTGTCCAACTCTTCGTGACCCCATGGACCACAGCATGCCAGTTTGGTCAAATTCATGTTGGTCACTTCGATGACACTGTCCAACCATGTTGTCCTCTGTCGTCCCCTTCTCTTCTTGCCTTCACACTTTCCTAACATCAGTGTCTTTTCCAGGGAGTCTTCTCTTCTCATGAGATGGCCAAAGTATTGGAGCCTCAGCTTCAGGATCTATCTTTCCAGTGAACACTGAGGATTGATTTCATTTAAAATGGATAGGTTTGTTCTCCTTGCAGTCCATGAAACTCTCAGGAGTCCCCTCCAGCACCACAATTGAAAAGCATCAATTCTTCGGCAGTCAGCCTTCTTTATGGTCGAGCTCTCACTTCCATACATCACTACTGGAAAAACCATAGTTTTGACTATGCGGACCTTTGTCAGCAAGATGAGATCTCTGCTTTTTAAGGTGGGCCAGGAATATAGTTACAAAATAGCTTCTATGGACTCAGATGGCACCACATCAACCATGTTCTATAGAGGCTGATTTTTTAACAGACTGTGGATAGAGTTTATAAATAGGAATCTCAGAAACACATTGATGTGCTTGTACATGCATCATACTGGGGCCTGCCATTCCAATAACTGCCTGGAAAAAGCAGTTAAAGATACAATATCTGGAGAAAATTGATATTCTCTGATCTGAAAATAAGATTTGGTCCAGGCTTATTTTCATTAACTTGAGTTCAAGCAAAGCATAGCTCTTCAAATTTAGATATAACAGGGAGATCTGATCTGCATTAAAGAGGAAGAAGCTCCAATAGCTTCCATGTTCTATAGAGGCTGATTTTTTAACAGTCTGTGGATAGAGTTTAGAATAGCTTACTTTGGACTGAGAAAGAAGAGGGAAAGCACTGCCTGCCTATACTGGACCACTGTCTCTAGAACAGGGGTCTCAAACTCAATTTACCTGGGGGCCGCTGGAGGCAGAGTCTGGGTGAGGCTGGGCCGCATCAGATTTTCCGCCAAGAGCCCGAGGAAGCCACCCAGGAGTTTCCTTCGCCTTGCAGGGGCTCCAAGGAGGAGGAGGGCGAGCCCTCGTGGCCACACACACACGAGGTCCGGCAACCTTCCTCTGAGGGCCTCCTCAAAAAAAGGCGCACTCAGCAGCAGCTACCCCCACCACGACAGAGGAGCAAACTTTGTGAGGCAAGCCCAGGCAATCTCCAGAGCCAAGGCAGCTGAAGCAGGACGAGGAGGAGGAAGCACTGCTGGGTGCTGAGGTGGCTGCTGGCAGGGATGGTGCTGGGGGGGCCAAGAGAGAAAGAGAGCCAGAGAGCCACTTCCCTGGAAGAGGCAGCAGCGGCAGCTGCTGTTGGTGGCTTGGAGGCGCTCTTTGAGGACGGGCCGGGAGCGAGCTCTGCTCTCAGGCATCGCTCGGCGGTGGCTCAGGGAAAAGGGCGGGCAGCACACCTCACTTGCTGGCTCTCCCCCAAGACAGTGCCTCTTGCACCTTCCATCCAGAACTGCAGCCCGCCAGCCAGCAGACAGGTGGGCCGACTGGCAGGCTGCAGTTCCGGATGGAGGGTGCAAGAGGCCCTGTCTTGGGAGAGAGTCGGCGAGAGAGGTGATGATTTTTTTGACTCCTGACAGCAGAGGATGCATGGGTGCTTCGGAGGGGGGGAGGCAAGGCGGGGGCCACAAACTATCATCTGGCGGGCTGCAAATGGCCCCCGGGCTGCATGTTTGAGACTCCTGCTCTAGAATTTATTTAAGTAATGCACAAACTATATTTGTTTTCTTCACTTTGTATTATTCTGATATATTTATGGGTAGGCTTCTTTTTAAGATTTGATTTTTTAAAAAAATATTTTTGCAAATTCACTTCATAGGAATACATATGCACAAAAACATCTCAGCACTGGACAAACAGACATCATCATGACTACTTTATACACATGATCCAGCAAAACTAATTCCTTATGTGTCTGCAAATCTCCTTTATTGCTGTCATAGTTAAGGCATTAAATGTTGCTTGATTTCTAATAACTGAGTTTCTGAAGCTTTTCTGTCAAAAATTTAGGGTTGAATTAAAAAAGAACTATAGTAACAATTACATCCAAACTAGTAGAAACAGAGAGCTAACAGGACAGTTATCCCATTATGCCATTAAAAAACTATATATGTTCCCTTCTAACATCATATATAACTTTACTGCTACAGAACAAGTCAAACATTCACATCACGGCCTAGTATAATCATTACAAAAAATAAATTTTAGGTATGACTCCGTAATGCTCATTGGTAAAGGGATGACAGAACATGAATCAGTCCTGTTCCAACATTAAGTACAAATGCTGATGGTAGAAACATATTACTGCAGTTGTGTGCGCACAGATAGCAGGCTGAAATTAAGTGTAAAATAAAACTGCTAGCATGGCACTCAAATCAGCATTCCGGAAATTCTGATCAGCACTCTGGAAATTCAGATAAGCAGAGCGTTTCTTCAACAACAGAAGAGGGAAACAGGTTCAAAACGTGTCTCAAGATGAAAGAGTGCTGCTTGAGAGCCTTTTGATACTATCAGTAAACTCCAACTTTGAGCAATGACTCCATGAAGACATACATTATAGGCTTAGGTATGAGTGAAATAAACATTTTCTTTTATGGATGTACCAGTAATTAGAGGACTGTATCTTACACTTTTGGAAATCTCACTTAAAAATAATAATAAATTGCTTAATTTAAAACATACTCCTGTAAGTATTTTATCATAACTAAAAGTTATATATAAAATGTGAGATAATTGAAGACTGAAAATATGTTGTTACTGTTGCTTTTGTTGTTGTTAATTCTGGAATATATGGAAAGATTACATGTAGAAAACATAATCAGCACCCCCCCCCCATAAAATTCCACAAATATAGCTTCACCTGGAAGCATGTGTCATCCCTGAGCTTCTTCCTCCCCACTTAATTTTAACCTGGGTTAATATTTAATAATTTAATAATGGTGAAATCACTTCAACTCGTGGAATTGACCACTCGCTGGGGTAGAAGTGATTGTGGGAGAAAAATGATTCAGCATTCAAAGAAGTGCCTCTGTTTTCCCCAAGCTTCTTCTGAAGACTTTGACTGCAAGCTAAAGGGTTGTGTATGCAACACTAGGGTTTATATACTAAAGTCTAAATCGTCTAAAATTCTTTAGTGACCTATCAATTGTATTAGTCAATCAAAGGAATTATGGCTAGCAGTGACTGACATCTAGCAAGGCTGCTAACAGTACTCCTGTTGAGGAAGATGTATGAACAAACATTAACCGCAAGGCAGATCTCAGCTGACATCAAGAGAGCGCCACATGAAGGCGGTTAACTCCCAGCAGGACAAGAACTGTTACAGAATAGCTCTCAGAGAATGTGAAAAGAGAAATGTGATACACTACATGAAATAACTTGTCGCTGATTGTGTCTCATGGGACGGATTACTATTCTGAAATGCTACGGTGCAGTCTTGCTCTATCTTTGCACTTCCTTTTAAACCATAACTTCACAGGGACCCTTCAGTTTACATGTGGATGCAATCTGAGCTTTACGAATTTAAAAAAACATACTTGATTGGAAGTTAGGATAAATATAGGTAGCAACAAAAGAAGACCTTCCATTATTAAAACTCTCATATTGCCAAGAAAAGCTTGATTAAACTTTTGATTCTATAGCTTTTTAACTAAAGCCAGTTAGAATCTCCATTTATTTGCACTGAAGTAATAGTAAAGGTGGTTCTGACTAGCAAAGGATTGTGGTACAAAATGTATTTCACATATTTTAGATACAAGCTGGACAAGCTTTCACATATTGACTGTTCTTCCAACAAAACCAGATACACTTTCAGTTTCATAAAACTAATTTTGGGGATTGATTGATTGATTGATTGATTGATTGATTGATTGATTTAGCCGCTCTCATTAGTGTCACAGTACTACTCTGGGAGGGTTACAACACATATATTAGAAAACAAAAATAAAAGTGGAAACATTAAAACCAGCAACAATAACCCTAAGAAACCAGATGGCACCGACTAATTCCCAAATTGGATGGAGGGAAAAAAGGGGAGAGAAGAAGAGGAGGGGAAAGAAAAAAAAGGATAGAAGGTGGTCACCTGGGGTCAGTGTGGAAAGCCTCCCTGAAAAGCAATGCCTTTAATTGCTTTTTAAAAATACACAGGGAGGAGGCTAGGTGGAGCTCCTCCTGAAGTTGGTTCCATCAAGTTGGACCCACCGTGAAGAAGGCCCTACCTTTCGTAGAGGATTTATGGGCCTCCCTTGGGGTGGTCACCTGGAGCAGCCTCGACTGGGATGATCTTGTGGGTTAGGCAGATGACACTAAGGAGAGGCGCTCCTGAACATATGTCTCCAAGAGTGTTTTCCTTCTTTGCTTTTTTTTTTTTAATTGGATGAGGTTGGAAGTTCTAAGGGCTCCAAAACTGGGTCAGAAGGAGAGTGCATGACCTCCATAGGTTTCACACTGCCCATCAATATTGTAGGGCCAAACTATATGAGATACCATCTTCATAAATAAAACATGATCCACCATAGAGGTACACTCCTTCGTCATGGCTGCAAAATCAACTTGCAAAGGAAATACTGGAACATAGTATCCACAGGGGATCAGTTCCAAAGTGTCCCCCCACCTCAGATGCTGAAAAACGCAGAAATATGGATGTTATACATTGCAAGGCCTCTGGTTTCCTCTAGCAGCCAGTTCTGGTTAATATACCAGGAAATACATATAAATAGGTATTTCGGGGGGTGGGCGGGGGAGTTATTTAGGATTTTCAGACAGTGGAGAAGTGAATCATTAGATACTGATCCCACAGATAGGGCAGTCCTGCTGCACAGTGATTAGCTTCCAATCACACATTTACAACTTACTACATCGGAGTAAAATATAACATAAACATCTTTTACCTCGAAACGAAAAACTGCTTCTGATTATGAAGCTAACATCCATCCCGCAGAGAGTTTTCACCGCCTTCCGAAGTACTGAAGACAACTTTTGTGTTTTTTTCCTACAGCTACTCTAACTGAACATATCAGCTTTGGCAGTAAACATTAAGACTTTAGTCAGTTCTGAATAGTTCAGATTTTATATCTTAAAATATAGAAATTAGGTCATGCATATGATACCCCTGCTCACCTACATTATACCCCAGAAGGAAAAAGAAGTGTTTTTAAAACTCATACTAAATATAAACTAGATTAACATTATTTGCCAAAAACTAATTAGGTTTACATGACTTTTTTGCATTAATCAGGTAATGTACATTGTTGGTCCCATATTGTCTTACCTGGGATTAGTTAGGTTGTAACAGGATTTCCAGATCTGCAACATGTGTTTACAGGTAAGGAGTGCTTCATCTGGGCCCCTGCAGAGGCATTCCAATTTGACTTTTGAAAAGAGCAATCTGAAACAGAAAACAAGAAAATAAAGAATTATAATACATCAGGAAACATGCCTCCATGTAACAAGTAATATTGGATGCTTGCACTGTTCTTTCGACAGAGGGAATGAGAATCAGCTAAAAAAAGTTACAGTTATAGTATTAAAGATCACTATTACACAGAGTAAATAGGATAGGGATATTGCAAAGTACTGTACAGTGGCACCCCAACTTACAAACGTAATCCATTTTGGAACGACATTCGTACATTGAAAAGTTTTTAAGTTGAAGGACCATTTTCCATTGAAATGCATGGGAACGGAATTAATCCGTTTCAGCATTTCAAAAAATTACCTTCGGAGGTTTCAAAGGGCTTCCTCTGATGTCGGGGGGAAAGTCCTTTGAGACCTTCGAAACTTTTGTGTCTTCCCATTTTGAACACGACTACATCTTAGTTAGCAAAAGTACTTAGTTAGCAAAAGTACTGCATATTTTGCAGTACAGTGTGACCTCAACTTATGAACGTCCCTATCTATGAACATTTCGACTTATGAATGGCTCCATTCGCAAAAATTGGCATCGACTTGCAAACGGAGCCTCGACCTACAAACAAAAGGGAGGGGTAAAAGGGTGGGAAATTCAAATTTTCCCCTGCCTTTTTGCCTTCAGAGGTCTCAAAGGGCTTCCTCTGATGTCGGGGGAAAGCCCTTTGAGACCTCCGAAGGCAGCGATTGCTCTGTTCGCAAAAAATGGCATTGACTTGCGAACAGAGCCTTGACCACGTTCATAGGTCGAGGCTCCGTTCGCGAGTTGATGCCAATTTTTGCAAACGGAGCCGTTCGTAAATTGAAAAGTTCATATGTAGGGACATTCATAAGTCAAGAGTTGACTGTACTTGCACAGTTACAAGATGGGAGATAACTCACTCTGCAAAACTACAAGCCAGAAGGATCTTGGAACTGTCGTAGATCACAAGCTAAATATGAGCCAACAGTGTGATGTGGCTACTAAAATAGCAAATGCTATTTTAGGCTGCATTAATAGAAGTATAGTTTCCGAATCCCGTAAGGTGCTAGTCCCCCTCTATTCAGCACTGATTAGGCGTCACTTCGAGTATTGTGTCCAGTTCTGGACACCACACTTCAAGAAGGATGCTAAGAAATTGGAACAAGTACAGAGGAGGGTGACAAGGATTATCAGGGGGCTGGAAACCAAGCCTTACGAGGAAAGGTTGAAAAATTTGGGCATGTTTAGCGTTTAGAAAAGAAGACTGAGGGGTGATATGATAGCACTTTTCAAATATGTGAAAGGCTGTCATACAGAGGAGGGGCAAGATCTGTTCTAGATCATCCCAGAGTGCAGGGCGTGCAACAATGGGCTCAAGTTGAAGGAAGTCAGATTTCGGTTGAATATCAGGAAAACCTCCTTACTGTTACAGATTTCGGTTGAATATCAGGAAAACCTCTGTACTGTTAAGAGCAGTACAACAGTGGAACCAGTTACCTCAGGAGTTGGTGAGTGTTCCAACACTGGAGGCATTCAAGAAAAACTTAGATAATCACCTGGCAGATATGCTTTGATTGTATTTCTGCACTGAGCAGGGAGTTGAGACTTGATGGCCTTGTAGGCCTCCTCCAACTTCACTTTTCTATGATTCTATGAGACTCTTCCTCTTTTAGTGAGCATTTAATCTGGAGATAGACTTGCTCTTATTTTGCTGAATAACAGCATACAATCACTTGATTCAAAGTACAGCGCTGATGAGATGATTAAAAATCATACTCAACAAACAGTAAAAGACCTATAGGCATACATTAAGGGGGGAAAGATTTATGCCATTCCTATCACATGTGTAAGAAAAATGAATGTAGAGGATAAAACTATCATAAATAGCCTGTGCGTGACGTATATTAATGTTCTCTTTTCTGTTTGTAGAAAGGTGGATACAGAGAACTGTTTCAGCATATGCATTTATCTCACTAACAGCAGATGACTCTTCCAAAGAGAAAGCTTTCCCAACACTCTTGATGTGCTCCAGCAACTGGGAGCTACAATAGACAACACAGGATGTGGTCACTTCCCACTAAACACTCTGTAACAGAATCTGGATACAATCATGATAGAAACAAAACGTTTGGTTCCCCCCCCCCATTAGCACATTTATATGTTTACAACCTTTTCACTATTATATTTATCATTTACACTTAAAGTATATTAAAACAGCAGTAGCACTGTTGGCAAGTAAACATGCAAAATATGATTCCACTAACTGAAAATTAATACACTGGTGCCTTGCAAGACAAACACCTTGGGGGACGAAAAACCCACAACACGAATGATTTTTGCAATCACTGTGGTGCCTTGCAAGACGTCTTCTTCTACGGCCATGCTTCACAAGATGAATGTTTTTCACAAGACCGATGCCTGCAATGCATTCCTATGGGAAACCGTTTTTGCAAGATAAAAATTTCACAAGACAGAACTACTCGCGGAACGAATTATTTTCGTCTTGTGAGGCACAACTGTAATATGGTTGAGTGTGATTTTTACTACTAAGGCAATTGCAAAAAGCACAAATTAAATGGCAATCGTGTTATTAAGAATAAATATTATTCCTGTCTTAAACCAGGGGTCCCCAACCCCCAGTCTGCGGCCTGGTGCCGGTCTGTGGCCAGGGTCGGACTGGGCCGCAGAGACAGATCTCCCACCCCCTTGCATGCACTCCCACCCCCACACAGTCCCTTTGCACATGCGTGTGAGTACGTGTGAGTTCCCCCACCCCTTCACAAGTGTGCGTGACTGTACCCTGAGCAACCCCCCGCCCTTCACGTGTACATGCCCGCTCCTTTGTTCAGGAAGAGTAACATAAGCCCCCTGAAGCCTGGTTAAGTCAGCAACGGCTAGGAAGTATATGACATATGTACGCAATGGAGATTCTCTATAAACGAGTAATTACAGAAAAGGTTTCCCTGAAAATATATTGCAAATCCTTGTTCTAAAGACTACGGAGCTAAGCATTCTGTTTCTCAAAAGCAAATGAGTGCCAACACAATTTTTAAAGTACTTTCTGAAAGTGGAACCAAATCTAAACATATTTAGGCATTCTACTTTTAAAGACCTTGTCTGACGGAGTTCCTCTTAAGCTTTATAAGCAGTGAAAAGAGAACAATTAAAGCCCTGAAGAAAGCATCCTTGAATAATGCAACACTTTATTTTGCTTACTGAACAGGTGTTTCTTTTTTTAATTGAAGATTTTGTGCTGTAAATTGGAAAAAAATTGTATGAAAGAGAACTAACTCTCTGGGGATATTTAGGTAGTGCTCCTGTCATAGTGCGTGGTTATCAATCATATCAGAAATGCAGTTCAACTGTCTAAATGTATGTGTCTAACAGTTCAATTGTTCAGAGTGATCAAGTATACAAAAATTTGCCATTATAAAGGACTGAGACTCTTGAGTAAAGCCTGGAAACTGCATGCGGCACAAGGTTGTTTCTGTGGCCACATCCATAAGACTCTATGTTCAAGCTTAGTATATTCTCAATCTGCATATGTGGAAATAATCTTAGGGCTTGTCCAGATGGAACAAAGGTTCACCAGAAGTCCTTGATTCAACATATGGGTTGTGTTAGCAAGAGAAAGGTGGGTCTTCTTCAAAATCCATAAGATGTGCAACCAGAAGATCTACAGTTATGTCTTAGAATTCAGTGCTGGAAGGGGGAAAAGTTCCTGTATATCAAATAACTTTTACTTATTTCCTTGAGTAGTGACTCTATCCATGTATAGAAGGAAGATGGAGAAGATCCATACAAATGTCCTTCAGAAAAGACAATACTTGATGTATTCTCTACCTTACACTTAAAAGATGGCACACATTGGTGGCCTAAATTAAAATAAGACTGTAAGTAAGTGTATGTCTAATCTGCCAACAATGCCTCAAAGCTCACACCTTCCTATTTCTTCTGAAGGAAAACTGCCAGGTTTAGAAATTTTACACACTGATCACGTGGGGCGTTTACCTAGTTCACACGGATATAAATATCTATTAATAGCCATAGATGCTGCAACTGGATCTACCATAGCACGTCCACAAAAGAAGATTACAGCAGAGGATACAATGATTGCTCTCCAACAGATTTACTGTATGCTTTCTTTACATGACGATGGCCCATCTTTTGCAAATGAGAAGATGCAAGCAATCACTGTCAAGTGGGGCATCGGACATACTCTTTCAATTCCCTTCTATCTTCAATCAAATCAGAGGATACAGCAGCACATACAGGAAGTTAACAGAGCTAAGAAAACATTTATGTTAGTCCAGATGATAAAAGGCCTCATCTAATATGATTGGTGATTTTGCCCTTGCCCTTCTGTGTTTATTTTTATTCTTTCCCCATTTTGTACCAGTCTTTATTGTGGGAGGTAGAGCTTAATTCTTCAGTGCTTCCTATGGAGAGTTAATTTCCACATCAGAGGCTTCCAGTTTGGAAACATTTAAAGCAGGCTTGTCCAACCCGCAGCCCACGGGCCGCATGCAGCCCAGGTCGGCTCCTTATGCGGCCCAGTGAAGGTCCAGGTCGGCTCCTAATGCGGCCCAGTGAAAGTCCACACCTCCCACAATGCTGGCACAGCATTCCAGTTCTGCTACCCGGCCTCTATCCTAGCGAAGAGGAAAGGGCATGCAGCCCAGGTCGGCTCCTTATGCGGCCCAGTGAAGGTCCGCACCTCCCACAATGCTGTGCTAGCATTCCAGTTCTGCTACCTGGCCTCTATCCTAGCGAAGAGGAAAGTGTGTGAGTGGGTGAGCGAGGAAGCAAAAAAGAGCTGAAAAGACAGAGCAAGGGGAAGGCAGAGAGGGAGGAGCTGCCTGCCCGCCCGCGAAGTGTGTGTGTGTTGGGCGGGAAAAAGCCAGCCTCAAACTCTGGAGCCTTAGCGCAAAATCCGTCCCGCAGTGCAACAGCCAACTCAGCGTCTGGGGGGAAAGCGGGTAGCCGAGCCGCTCGATGGTGTTGCTGCTCAGAGTGAG